TTTTTTTTTGTAGTGGTATGCTTTGAGGCCTTTGTTATTTTCTTTGATGTGTCTTCTATAGCAATTTTCTCTGTATAAAACATTTTATAGCTGTAACTATTTATTTAAACTAAAAATTTAATTCAATTGCATACAAAACCTCTACTCTTTTACCTCCAATTCACCTTACATTATCAATGTCACAAATTATACTTTTAATATTTTGTATCCATTAATATAATTTAATAATTATGGTTATTTTATGCTTTTATTTATACCTGATTTAAAAATGATTTATGGACCACTATTGTAGTATGACAAGATTCTGCTTTTTTTTTTTTTTTGACAGAGTCTCACTCTGTCGCTCAGGCTGGAGTGCAGTGGTGCAATCTCAGCTCACTGCAAACTCTGCCTCCTGGGTTCACGCCATTCTCCTGTCTCAGCCTCCTGAGTAGCTGGGACTACAGGAACCCGCCACTATGCCCTGCTAGGTTTTTTTTTTTTTTTTTTTTTTTTTTTTTTTTTGTGTGTGTGTTTTTACTAAAGATGGGGTTTCACCATGTTAGCCAGGGTGGTCTCGATCTCCTGACCTCGTGATCTGCCCGCCTTGGCCTCCCAAAGTGTGGGATTACAGACGTGAGCCACCACACCCGGCCTAGATTCTTCATTTGACTATATGTTTACCTTTACCAGAACCTTATACTTTTGTATGCTTTCAAGTTGGTATCTAGCTTTCCTTTATTTCAACTTGAAGTACTACTATTAGTAATTCTAGCAAGGCAGGTTAATGGTGATGAACTTCTTCAGCTTTTGTTTATCTGGGAAGGTCTTTATTTCTCCTTCATTTTTGAAGGGCAGATTTGCTGTGTATTCTTAGTTGGCAATTTTCTTTCTCTTTCAGCCCTTTGAATATACTACCCCATTCCCTTTCAGTCTGGAATGTTCCTGCTGATGAGTTTGCTGATAATCTTATGAGAGTTCTCTTGTATATAAGTCACTTTTCTCTTGCTGCTTTCAAGATTCTCTGTCTTTGACTTTTGACTGATTATAATGTGTCATGGTGTTGGATCTTTAGGTTCATCTTAGACAGAGTCCTTCAAACTTCTGAAATTTGGTTGTCAGTTTCCTTTTTCAGATTTGGGAAGTTTCCAGCCATTTCTTCAAGTAAGCTCTCTGCCACAGGCTACTCTTCCTTGTGCAGTCTGTGGACCCAGTTGTCATCTGCCACCACTGTCTACTTATCTTTCAACTGCCACAAATGGACTCCAAAAAAAATCTCCAAAAGAAACTGTTACCATGACAAGATGGCCAACTAGACACAACCAGGAAGCTCTGCTCCCACTGAGAGAGACCAAAATATTGAGTACACCAACATATTTTGAGCCCATCTTCAGAGAGAAAATATGGAGAGTCATTAAAGAGGTGATGCAGACAACAAGGCTGAAGAGGGAGGAAGCTGGGAACCCTGCACAGGATACTTGCGTGACAGGGCTAGTTCCCAGACCTGAATGTCTCCTGGGGAAGGGATAAGTGGAGGGATGGAGGGACAGGCCACACTCACTGTGGACCTCTGGTATCCTAGGTACATAGAACTTCACATTCTCCATGGACATATGAGCTGCCAGGGGGATCTTCAAAGAGAGTAGGCAGAGACAGGGCTTCACTGGCACGGAGTCCAGGAGCTTTTGTACATGTGGCAGCTGTGGCAGAGCATGGCCTAGACACCCATCCCCTAGGGCTCCCCATCTCCGTATAAGCAACTCTAGCCTCAGCTGATTGCTGGCCCAGGAGAGAGTGTGGCTGGCTTCCCTGTGGGACTGGGAAACTTTTTTTTTGTAGACCCTCCTGCCCACCAGCAGGACCCCTGCCTGGCCACCCTGCAGGAGGTATGCACAGAGTAGCCTCTGCTGCCAAGCCTGGGTGCTTTGCTTTGCCTGAGTACCTTCCTGGTGGCCCAGGAGCACTTTGGATCCCCCAGAACAGCTAGGACCCAATCTCAATGGTCTGGAGGATGAAGCTGAAATCAGTCCTAGCCCCCCAAAACTACACGAATACATGGAAATTGAACAACTTACTCCAGAGTAACGCCTCAGTGAACAATAAAATGAAGGACGAAATAAAAAAATTCTTTGAAATAAATGAAAATAGGGACACAGCTTACCAAAATCTCTGGGACACAGCTAGAGCAGTATTAAGAGAAAAGTTTCTAGCACTAAGCACCTTCAGCAAGAAATTAGAAAGGTCTCAAATTAACAATGTGCCTTTGCATCTAGAGGAACTAGAAAAAAAACAAGCCAACCCCAAAGCAAGCAGAAGATAATAAATATCTAAAATTAGAGAAGAACTGAATGAAATTTAGACACAAAAATCCATACAAAAGATCAATGAAGCAAAGAGTTTTTTCTTCAAAAGAATAAAAAAGATTGGCAGGGCGCAGTGGCTCATGCCTGTAATCCCAGCACTTTGGGAGGCTGAGGTGGGAGGATCACAAGGTTAGGAGATTGAGACCATCCTGGCTAACACGGTGAAACCTCGTATCTACTAAAAATACAAAAAAAAATTAGCTGGGTGTGCTGGCGGGCGCCTGTAGTCCCAGCTACTCAGGAGGCTGGGGCAGGAGAATGGCATGAACCCAGGAGGCGGAGCTTGCAGTGAGCCGAGATCACACCACTGCACTCCAGCCTGGGCGACAGAGAGAGACTCCATCTCAAAAACAAACAAACAAACAAACAAACAAAAAAACCCAAAAAAACCCAAATAAACAAGATCAGTAGACCACTAGCTATATTAATCAAGAAAAAAGAGAAGATCTAAATAAATACAATCAGAAATGACAAAGAAGACATTGCAACTGGTCCCACAAAAATACAAAAGATCCTCAGAGACTGTTATGAAGAGCTCTATGTACACAAATTAAGAAAACCTAGAGAAAATGGATAAATTCCTGGAAACACACAAACTCCCAATATTGAACCAGAAAGAAAGTGAAAACTTGAACAGACCAATAAGTTCCAAAATTGTATCAATATTAAAGAAACTGCCAACCATAAAAGAAAAAAAAAGAAAAAGAAAAAAAAGCCCTGGACCAGATGGATTCACAGACGAATTCTCTCAGAAATAAAAAGAAGAACTCAGACAAAAAAAGAATACTAATCGTATTGAAACTATTCAAAAAAATTGAAAAGGAAGGGTACCTCTCTAACTTATCCTACAAAGCCAGAATCAGTCTGATACGAAAATCTGGCAGAGACACAACAAAAAAAGAAAACTTCAGGCCAGTATACCTAACGAACATAGGTGCAAAAATTCTAAACACAATACTAGCAAACTGAATCCAGCAGCACATCAAAAAGTTAATTTACTACAATAAGGCAGGCTTTACTCCTGGGATGCAAGGTTGGTTGAACATATGCAAATCAATAAATGTGATCCACCACAGTAACAGAATTAAAAGCAAAACCATATGATCATCTCAGTAGATGTAAAAAAAGCTTTCAACAAAATCCAACATCCCTTCATGATAAAAGCCCTCAACAAACTAGGCATCTAAGGTACATACCTCAAAATAATAAGAGTCGTCTATACCAAACCCATCATACTGACTGGGCAAAAGCCAGAAGCATTCCCCCTAAGAACAAAAACAAGACAATGATGTCTACTGTCACTGCTATTATTCAATATAGTACTGGCAGTCCTAGTCAGAACAATTAGGCAAGAGGAAGAAATAAAAGACATCCGTGGCTGGGCGCGGTGGCTCATGCCTGTAATCCCAGCACTTTGGGAGGCCAAGGCGGGCAGATCACGAGGTCAGGAGATCGAGACCACCCTGGCTAACACGGTGAAACCCTGTCTCTACTAAAATTACAAAAACAAAAAACAAACAAACAGAAAAGACATCCACATAGTAAAAGAAGAGGTCAAATTGTTTCTCTTCACTGACAGTACGATTTTCTCTTTTTTTGAAACTGAGTCTCCCTCTATCGCCCAGGCTGGAGTGCACTGTCACCATTTCACCTCACTGTAGCCTCTGCCTCCTAGGTTCAAGTGATTCACCTGCCTCAGCCTCCAGAGTAGCTAGGATTACAAGCATTCACCACCATGCCTAGCTAATTTTTGTATTTTTTAGTAGAGATGGGTTTCACCATGTTGGCCAGGCTGATCTTGAACTCCTGACCTCAAGTAATCTGCCTGCCTTGGCCTCCCAAAGTGCTGAGATTACAGGTGTAAGCCACCATGCTTGGCCACTGATAATATGATTCTATATCTAGAAAACCCTAAAGACTCTGCCAAAAGGCCCATCAAACTGCTAAATGACCTCAAGAATGTTTCAGGATACAAAAATGATGTACAAAAATCAATAGCATTTCTATATATAACTGAGTACCTCAGCCTTGAAATACATTTTTAAACCATTTTTTTCCTCTCCTTCCTAATCTCAGAATGTAGCCTTGTAGTGTAAGACTCTTTGTTATGCCCTTTCCCAACAGGCATATCTGTGCACAGTGCTTGCCCATCTAACTATGTGCTTGCTTAGAAATTCCAGGAGCCAATTTTGAAACAAATCAAGCAGAGAGACCCAGCTGCAGATCTTCCCACTCAAGGGGAGTTACGCCCAAGTCAGGATGATGCAAATCAGATCTCTAGATGGGAGATTACTTGAGATAACTATGGGAACAAGACATGCAGCTATGCACTCCCTTTTCACTACTCATGTTCATATCCCACACCTTTTTCCTTCTTAAACCCCTTCACTCAGCCCAGAAGGCTGAGATGGCTCTTTTGAGGCTTATGCCCAGACATTCTCCCATCTGCTAGCATTTGACCAATAAAAGTTGCTTTCCTTTCACCACACCTCAGTTCTCATGCTTTGACTTCTGAGAGGAGAGCAGCTGGACTTGAGCTGGTTACATATACACCCAATAATGTTCAAGCTGAGAGCCAAATCAAGAACACAATCCCATTTACAATAGCCACACACAAAAATGAAATATCTAGGAATACAGCTAACCAAGAAGGTTAAGATCTCTACAAACCTGACAATGTTGGTGTTGTCGTGTTTGGAAATGATAAACTAATTAAGGAAGGAGATACAGTGAAGAGGACAGGAGCCATTGTGGATGTTCCAGTTGGTGAGGAGCTGCCGGGTCATGTAGTTGATGCCCTTGGTAATGCCATTGATGGAAAGGGTCCATTTGGTTCCAAGACCCATAGGCGAGTTGGTCTGAAAGCGCCTGGAATCATTCCTCGAATTTCAGTGCGGGAACCAATGCAGACTGGCATTAAGGCTGTGAATAGCTTGGTGCCAATTGGTCATGATCAGTGTGAGCTGATTATTGGTAATAGACAGACTGGGAAAATCTCAATTGCTATTGACACAATCATTAACCAGAAACGTTTCAATGATGGATCTGATGAAAAGAAGAAGCTATACTGTATCTGTGTTGCTATTGGTCAAAAGAGATCCACTGTTGCCCAGTTGGTGAAGAGACTTACAGATGCAGATGCCATGAAATACACCATTGTGGTGTCAGCTATGGCCTCGGATGCTGCCCCACTTCAGTAACTGGCTCCTTACACTGGCTGTTCCATGGGAGAGTATTTTAGAGACAATGGCAAACATGCCTTGATTATCTATGACGACTTATCCAAACAGGCTGTTGCTTACCATCAGATGTTTCTGTTGCTCTGCCAACCCCCTGCTCATCAGGCCTATTCTGGTGATGTGTTCTACCTATACTCCCGGTTGCTGGAGAGAACAGCCAAGATGAACAATGCTTTTGGTGGTGGCTCCTTGACTGCTTTGTCAGTCATAGAAACACAGGCCGGTGATGTGTCTGCTTACATTCCAATGAATGTCATTTCTATCACTAACAGACAGATTTTCTTGGAAACAGAATTGTTCTACAAAGGTATCCACCCTGCCATTAATGTCGGTCTGTCGGTTTCTCGTGTTGGATCTGCTGCCCAAACCAGGGCTATGAAGCAGGTGGCAGGTACCATGAAGCTGGAATTGGCCCAATATTGTGAGGTCACTGCTTTTGCCCAGTTCAATTCTGACCTCGATGCTGCCACTCAACAACTTTTGAGTTGTGGTGTGTGTCTAACTGAGTTGCTGAAGCAAAGACAGTATACTCCCATGGCTATTGAAGAACAAGTAGCGGTTATCCATGTGAATGTAAGGGGCTATCTTGAGAAACTGGAGCCCAGCAAGATTACAAAATTTGAGAATGCTTTCTTGTCTCATGTTGTCAGCCGGCACCAACCCCTGTTGGGCACTATCAGGGCTGATAGAAAGATCTCAGAAGAATCAGATGCAAAGCTGAAAGAGATTGTAACAAACTTCTTGGCTGGATTTGAAGCTTAAAATCCTATGGATTCACATCAAATACCAGTTCAATTTTGTCATTGTTTATTCTAGTAAATCAGTTTTATTTGTGAAAGGGTTACTCTCATACTCCTTATGTACAGAAATCACGTGAAAAATAAAGGTTCCATAATGTGAAAAAAAAGATCGCTACAAGGAGAACTGCCAATCACTGCTGAAAGAAATCACAGATGACACAAATAAATAAATTTTTAAAAAATTCCATGCTGATGGATTGGAAGAATCCATATTGTTAAAATGGCCATGCTGCCCAAAGCAGTTTAAAGATTTAATGTTATAACCATCAATGTCAGTTTTCACAGAACTAGAAAAAAACTATTCTGAAATTCATATAGAACCAAAAAAAAGTCTGAATAGCTAAAGCAATCCTAACCAAAAAGAACAAACCTGGAGGCATCACACTACCCAACTTAAAACTATACTATAAGACTACAGTAAGCAAAACAGCTTGGTACTGATACAAAAAAGACAGATGAATGGAACAAAATAGATAATCCAGAAGTGGTTCTATACCTATAGCCATCTGCTCTTTGACAAAGCCCACAAAAAATGGGAAAAGGACACCCTATTCAATAAATAGTGCTGGAATAACTAGCCAACCATATGCAGAAGAATAAAACTGGACCCCTACCTTTCATCATATACAAAAATTAACTCAACATGAATTCAAGATTTAAATGTACAACCTCAAACTATAAGAATCCTGGAAGAAAACCTAGGAGAAACAGTATTCTGGACATGAGCCTTGGCAAAGAATTTTTGGCTAAGTCCCCAAAAGCAGTTGCAACAAAACCAAAAACTGACAAGTGGGACCTAATTAGATTAAAAAGCTTCTGCTCATCAAAAGAAACTGTCAGTAGAGTAAACAGACAACCTACATAATAGGAGAAAATATCTGCAAACTATGAATCCAACAAAGGTTTAATATCCAGAACCTATGAGGAACTTAAACAAATCAAGAAAAAACAAACAAACAAATAACCCCATTAAAAAATGGGCAAAGGATATGAACAGATACTTCTCAAAAGAAGACATATAAGCGGTCAACAAATATATGAAAAAATGTCCAACATCACTAATCATCAGAGCAATGCAAATCAGAACCACAGTAAGATACCATCTCACTCCAGTCAGAATGGCTATTATGAAAAGGTCAAAAAACAACAGATGCTGGTGAGGCTGTGGATAAAAGGAATGCTTATAAACTGTTGAGGAGAATGTGAATTGGTTCAGTCATTGTGGAAAGCAATTGAAGATTTCTCAAAGAACTTAGAACTACCATTTAACCTACCAATCCTATTATTGGGCATATACCAAAGGGAAAATAAATCATTCTACCAAAAAGACACATAGACTTGTATGTTCATAACAGCGTTATTCACAACAGCAAAGACATGGAATTAACCTGGGTACTTATCAACAGTAGATTGAATTTTTAAAATGTAGTACATATACACCACAGAATACTACACAACCATAAGAAAGAATGAATTCACATCCTTTTCAGAATCATGGATACAACTGGAGTCTGTAACCCTAAGTAAATTATTATAATATAGGAATGGAAAACCAAATACAGCTTGTTCTCACTTGGAAGGGGAAGCTAAACACTGAGTACACATTGATATAAATATGGTAACACTAGACACTGTGAACTACTAGAAGGGGCGGGAGGGGGGATGGGTTGAAAAACTACCTGTTAGGTAATATGCTCACTACCTGAGTGATGGAATCTATATCCTAAACATCAGCATTACAGCACATACCTGTGTAAAAAACTTGCAGGTATATCCCCTGCATACAAAATAAAAGTCAAAATTATTTTTTTAAAAAGAAATTGTTGTCATTACAGGAAGTGGTAGATATTTTGGGTTCTGCCTAGGCTGTTTCTGAATCATAGGGGAGTCCATGTGATTCTGTTTGACATAAGTATCCCTGCTCAAACCATTCTGGAAGGAATCAACTTTATACATGGAGACATCTGTCATCTCTCTGAGGTGGAGAAAGCCTTCCAGGATATAAATGTTACTTGTATGTTCCATATTGTCTTTTATGTTATATCAGGGTGGAAACAATGGAATCAAAAACTGGTTGAAGAAATCAATGTGGGCGGGCGGGGGTGGGGGGACACAGGCAATGTCCTCCAGGCTTGCAGGAGGATACGAGTAATAAAATTAGTTTACACTAGTGCTTTTAATGGATATTTGGAGGTGAAATGGTCAGAAATGAAGATGAATCTCTGTATTTCTTAACTCTTCACCTCTATAGCAATCACTACTCTCAGACAAAATTGACTGTGGACAAAAAGATGGCGGAAGTGAATGGTGTTTTTCCTCCCCTACATCCCTAACATCCTGAATCCCTTCTCTTAAGTCTGTGACCACTGGGATACTTGGTCCCACTAGGATAGCTTTCCTCTACTGTGATTCCTCATCTACATGTTCAGTGTTGTCAGAAGAATGATGTTCTTTTCCAGATAGATGAATTACACAGCATTTAAATTTATCTTATTTCATTTTTTATGAGAAGTTATAAAATTGGAATAAAAAGCAGAAACAAGGAAAGGGATCTTCTGAAGTATACATTTTATAAGAGCCAAGGAATTAGTACCTGGAAAAATAAACTGTAATATTTAAAATTAGTTTATATATGGAGATAATTATGTTTCTTGCTAACATGCCTATCACCCTACTGATTCTCAATTTGAAATAAGAATTATAACTTTTATATGTCTGAATATGAAATTTTACAACTTTGACAGAAGAGGCCAGAGAACTAGCTTGCTTTTTTTCCACCATGTAGGAATAAAACAAGAAATCAGCAGTCTGCAGTCAGCAGTTACTGGAACTCAACCATGCTGATGCCTTGATCTTGGACTTTCCAGCCACCAGAACTATGAGAAATAAATATTCCTTGTTTATGCCACCCAGTTTATGGTAATTTGTTACGTCAGCCTAAACTGATTAAGACAAAAATGCTAAGAAACAGAAGGACCACAAAGTAAAATTCTGTAACTTATTCTGGAGTTTTAGATCTACTACAAAGGTCTAGAATCCAGTAGGTCTTCATGGACTGAATATAGTACCAGCAAGGGGGATGTGGACATGAGCCAGATCCTAACACAAAGGATATTTGCCCTCAAACCTCCTTCATGGTTCCTTCCAGGAGTGTGCAGCCCAGAATGAAGGTTTGATGGAGTGACTGGTGCCACAGGTATGAGCAATCAGTTCATAACTGGGGCAACAGTTTGGAATCAAAGAATCATGATTGTTCTTGTAAATGATACTTACGTACCAAAGAGGCACATTGGGCTCAGAACATAGCAATTTTTCTCCTAGGTCTGTCAGCCTATATATCTTTTACAGGCCAAGTATGTCAAGAGTCTACATGTGAGAGAGGTCTTAAAAACCATACAATATACATTTTGTACACAATTTCAGAATTCATAACAGATTATACTCAAGATACTGCATTTTATCTAGTGTGTTTTTACATTATAATTTCACAGGGTAACAGCTTCTCATTTTCAATGCCAGGTTACTTTTATGTGATAGCCACATTTTGTACCAATCTGGTGTTCAGATTTTATATTGCTTGATATGATTTTTTTTTAAGCGCATAATCACTTTCTTAAAGTTTCTGTTTAAAAACTTACAGGAAGCATGACACAATATAAATTATATTAGAGATGGAATATTTAATATCCCCTAAAATACCAAATAGCTTACTAGTATCCCAGTATTTAAATATACAGTTGATAACTCAAAGTAATTTATGACTGTTTCTTTGTAATCATTTTGATGTCACAGGTTGTTTAAGGCTTAATGATGATTAAGAACATTTAGTGAATTTATGCACACTTTAATGAATTGATTTAACATTTCAGCTGTTTATGTGCAAGGACCCATAAAATTATCAATTTAAATGACTTGAGAATTAAAATATAATAGTTTATTCTTGGAGCATTACTTTTTCTCTCTCCAGTTATTGGTCAGGCTACCAAATGCTTTTAAAAAAAATCTGTGTTTTAAATATTTTTATTTATTTACTTATTTTGAGATGGAGTTTCACTCTTGTCGCCCAGGCTGAAGTGCAATGGCATGGTCTTGGCTCACTGCAACCTGCGCCTCCCGGGTTCAAGTGATTCTCCTGTGTCAGCCTCCTGAGTAGCTGGGATTACAGGCACCCGCCACCATGCCCGACTAATTATTGTATTTTCAGTAGAGATAGGGTTGCAACATGTTGGCCAGGTTGGTCTCAAACTCCTGACCTCAGGTGATCCACCTGCCTTGGCCTCCCAAGGTACAAGGATTACAGTCATGAGCCACCACGCCGACCTAAATATTTTTACATGAGATTGTGGATGATAATCTCATTTTGGGTAGATTTGTATTTTGGGTAGATTTGTATTATGGGTAAATTTTTATCAGGGATCCTGATTTTAAAAGAAGAAAATAAATTTTTTTTCCAGTTATGATTAGCATTTTTCATTAATTACCAGCTTTAGTTAAGGTAGCTTCATTTAATTCATACATTTTTATTTGTTAATGCATGGTGCAATTAAAACAATAGTTACAATGTCATGAAGGACCTGTGCCAAGAATCAGATGGCACCACATAGCCGTCATTACTTATGACAATGCTACTTTTAAATTCTCATTTTTTTAAATGAGAATATTGAGGCTCCGAGATGTTAAGTAACTTTCCCAAGAATACACAGCTAGTCGATTCAGATTTATAAGGCCACAAAGCCTGGGTTCTCAGTTACTACTCTGCTCACTGGAACTTGTGGGAGCAAATTCTAATAAACTTATAGCTCTTCTTGCCCAAAAGATCTTAGCTCGGAGAGGAAGGAGACCTCTATACTGCAGAGCTAAGGGTTTAAGTAGGTCGTGCTTGACTTCCGGGGCATGTGACATGTGAATACAACTGGTTTTACGATGGTAAAATCATCAGCACTTCCATGGAGCATCTTGTGTTTCTCAGGGCATGGGAACCAACCATCTGCAGCATAAGGTAAATTTTTAACTCAAAAGTCAATGAGATTGTTATTGCTACGGATATCACCATATTATTTGGCAGGTAATTCTTATTGAAATATCATAAGGGCAAGTATTGTGACAACTT